AGAAGTAAATGATGGGGTTGGTGCAGCTGTTAACACTGGAGAGAAGAGTCATAACAAAGTATGTAAAGACAGCAGATTTTTCATTAAAACTCTCAATCCTGATTAAGAGGAACATGAAGAAGCCATAGGGCAGGCCGCAGAGCAGGAAGACCAGCACTGTGAGTAGGATGGTCACATACAGCCTGGTCAGCGGCACCCGGCGGGAGCCACAGAGGATCTTGAGCAGCAGAGCCAAGCTGGACCCCAAGAGAACCACAAGTAAGAAAATCAGCCAGGAGGCCATGGTGAAATGAATTTTCATACACTTAAAATAGTCAGAAGAGTTACTCCAGTATGAACAGTATTTCCATACCAAAATGCTCAGTACCAGACACAGGGCCCAGAGCAGAGTGCACATGATAGCTGACAGGTGTCTGGGGCGGTGGCAGCGGTACCAGATGGGCCACAGGACAGACAGGCAGCGCTCGGTGCTGATGGCGCTGAGCATGCTCAGGCCCAAGATGTAGGGGAAGAATGTCATGATTATTAGTAAATTTGTTATATAGTAGGGGAAGTTGGAAAGATGGAAAAATTCAATGGCAAAAATCAAGAAATCTATGAGGAGGCAGCTGAGCAGGAGGAAGTCTGCCCCGGCCAGGTTGAGGACGTAGACAGTGAAGGCATTTCTGCGCACGCGGAAGCCCAGGAGCCAGAGCACAGCCGCGTTTCCTGCCAGCCCAACAATGGCAATGGTGATGATCAGTGCGCCTAGGATCACCTGCTCTGCATAAAAAGCTCCATCACCGTTTGGACTTGCTCTTGTGCTTGGTGCGAGTGTCGTCCCCCATGCTGGGATAGCTGGATTCAGGCTTGGAATGCCTCCACTGGGGTCCCTGGGAACAGAAACAAAGAGTTGAACTTTGCTGCCATATTGCTGATCCTCAGATCTGTGTCATTATGTGAGAATTCCTTTTCCTGTGTTTCAGAGGGTGGAAATGGAAGCTTGCAGAGAAAAGTAACTTATCAAGAGTTGGGGACTACTTGAACATGGAGTCACACAGTTCCTGCTGACTCTACGTTCTGGACTCTTTCTTTTGCAGTTCATTTCATCTAAATGACATGGAAATGTTCTATGGTTCAAATGCCCTCATTCAATGTGATAGAGTTATGGACCCAGCTATTACCCTGGCCTGGGCCTGAAACTCACTTTAAGGTTCAGGAATTCCAAAGACATGGAGGTGATTAATACACCCCCATGACTAAGAGTGGTCCATGCAATGAGGATAAAGTAGACCTAGCTGTAGGGCCGTGAGAAGAGGCGACCTCTTGTTAGCACGGGTGTGAGGACGGCAGGGCCTTGTGGACTAGATGGTCAGCATTGAAGCCAGGAGCACTTCTTATCTCCTTGGTTTGTAACTTCGTGTGCTACAAGTTTTCTCAATATGTATTCAATGAGTGAAGGCATACAGAGGAGCACTATGCTGAATCACAGTGTAGGGGAAAGATCTGAGCCTGAGATGAATTGCTAACAGAAAGGAAGTGGAGGCAGAGGGTGACTGCCAGGTGTGAGTGCCCCTGAAAAGAGTTAGTGAAAGGTGGGGCAATCATGGAAGGCTGCTAAGTGGTGTGCTGTGTGTAGTGTCTCCTATGAACCTACTGCATTTTTTAAAACTTTTATTTAGTAGATATGAATTTCCAAAGTACAGCTTATGGATTGCAATGCCCCCCCCCATAACTTCCCTCCCACTCGCAACCCTCCATCTCCCCCTCCCTCTCCCATTCCATTCACATCAAGATTCATTTTCAATTACCTTTTTATACAGAAGATCGATTTAGTATATATTAAGTAAAGATTTCATCAGTTTGCACCCACACAGCACACAGAGTGCCAAATACTGTTTGAGCACTAGTCATATCATTAATTCACATTGGACAACACATTAAGGACAGAGATCCTACATGGGGAGTAAGTGCACAGTGACTCCTGTTGTTGACTTAACAATTTGACACTCTTGTTTATAGCGTCAGTAATTTCCCCAGGCTCTAGTCATGAGTTGCCAAGGCTATGGAAGCCTCTTGAGTTCACCGACTTTGATCTTATTTCAACAAGGCCATAGTCAAAGTGGAAATTCTCTCCTCCCTTCAGAGAAAGGTACCTCCTTCTTTGATGGCCCGTTCTTTCCACTGTGATCTCACTCACAGAGATCTTTCATTTAAGTCGTTTTTTTTTTTTTTTGCCAGGGTGTCTTGGCTTTCCATGCCTGAAATACTCTCATGGGCTCTTCAGCCATATCCGAATGCCTTGAGGGCTGATTCTGAGGCCAGAGTGCTGTTTAGGACATCTGCCGTTCTATGAGTCTGCTGTGTATCCCACTTCCCATGTTGGATTGTTCTCTCCGTTTTTTATTCTATCAGTCAGTATTAGCAGACACTAGTCTTGTCTATATGATCCCTTTGACTCTTAGACCTATCAGTGTGATCCATTGTGAACTGAAACTGATCACTTGGACTAGTGAGATGGCATTGGTACATGCCACCTTGATGGGATTGTATTGGAATCCCCTGGTATGTTTCTAACTCCACCACTTGGAGCAAGTCAGCTTGAGCATGTCCCAAATTGTACATTTCCTCCCTCTCATTTCCACTCTTGTATTTAACAGAGATCACTTTTCAGTTAACTTTAAACAACTAAGAATAATTGTGTGTTAATTACAGAGTTCAACCAATAATATTAAGTAGAACAAAAAATACTAAAAGGGATAAAATATTAAATTGCACATCAATAGTCAGGACAAAGGCTGATCAAGTCACTGTTTCTCATAGAGTCCATTTCACTTCAACAGGTTTCCTTTTTGGTTCTTGGTTGGTTGTCACTGATCAGGGAGAACATATGATATTTGTCCCTTTGGGACTGGCTTAATTCACTCAGCATTATGTGTTCCAGACTCCTCCATTTTGTAGCAAATGACCTGATTTCATTGTTTTTTACTGCTGTATAGTATTCTATAGAGTACATATCCTATAATTTCTTTATCCAGTCTACTGTTAATGGGCATTTTGGTTGATTCTAGGTCTTAGCTCTTGTGAATTGAGCTGCAATAAACATTAAGGTTCAGACTGCTTTTTTGTTTGCCAATTTCATTTCCTTTGGGTAAATTCCAAGGAGTGGGATGGCTGGGTTGTATGGTAGGGTCATATTCAGGTTTCTGAGGAATTTCCAGACTGACTTCCATAGTGGCTTGACCAGTTTGCATTCCCACCAACAGTGGGTTAGTGTCCCTTTTTCCCCACATCCTCACCAGCATCTATTGTTGGTAGATTTCTGAATGTGAGCCATTCTAACTGGGGTGAGATGAAATCTCATTGTGATTTTGATTTGCATTTCCCTGATTGCTAGTGATCTTGAACATTTTTTCATGTGTCTGTTGGCCATTTGGATTTCCTCTTTTGAAAAATGTCTATTGAGGTCCTTGGCCCATCTCTTAAGTGAACATACTGCATTTTCTCTCCCAAGATATCTTTAATAGTGTTTCCTTTGTTGATGGAAGCATTTCTGTGAGGGGTGACTGTGGTTGGTGGTAGAAAAAGGTGGCACTTAGAATTGAGAGAGAGATGTTCATGCAAATGTCCTTGTAGAAAAAGCATAGCTTGTATCTGCATGATTAAGAGCAAATGATTGAGAGATTATCAGGTTGGCTCAAATTTTATTCAAGTTTACTTCTGTGAAGTGAAAAATCAGTATTTTTCCATTTTGTAGAGGATGGAGTTGGAGTCAAAAAATGATGATTGATTTGCCTCTAATATCTGACACTGCAGATATGAATGCAGCAGAGGTGTCTCAAGGTCACCCTCTGATCCCCCAGCCGTGTCTGACAACTAAGCATGAGTGGTTGGAAAGCAGGGGAGATATCTCCAAGTTAAGTTCAAGAAGGCAGTTCAAATTGTGGATGAGAATAAAATCTAGCAAAAGCAAATGATGAAGCCAAGGCAAACTTCAGCTGGTCGACAAGGTCACAGCAGAAGGTCTGTCTCAGCAAGGTGTGAGGACAGCTGCGGTCCTCTTGGTGATTTTAGGTTTGATGAGAACTACACTCTGCATAAGCAAGCTGGAGATTCCTGGTGGTCCTGCTAATGATTGCTGTATTCCTAATTTTAGGGAAGAGCACTTAGTCTCATAACCTCCAAAATGTCCATTGTTTTGTAGAAATTTAATCAAGCAGAATGTTAGTGTAGGAGAAAGGGTTAATGCTTTATGCAAGATTGAGCTATTTGTGGAAAAGAATTAAAAGGCAACAGGCTCTCTGGTATATACTTCCCACTAGAATAAAGATAGATGTTAACAAAGCTTTAATTCACTATATGGTACAAATACTACAACGGTTAGGATGTCAAAACTGTAGAAAAGAACTAAGTGAACCTTTAAATAAGTGCAATAAAGAAATTAAAGAATTACAGAAAGAACTGCAAAGAGGGGATACATTATAAAAAGGGTCTGCTTTGAACTTGGGGCTTCTAGTGAAGATTAGATTAGGAAGGTACTATTCTAGCGTATGTAGCCAATTTCTGCATAGTTCAGCAGCACTCGAGGCCTTGGCTTGTGTGGGCAGCCTGTTATCTGCATCTGTCTGTGATTGTTACCCATGCTCTAAATATGCCCTTGAAAATCAAAGAAATTGTAATTAGAAAAAATGGACAACAGGCTTTTCATTGTCAGAAAAAAAGAATCATTATGTGATATAAAAATAAAGTCTGGTGCTCGAAGCCAGAGCCATGCCATCAGCCTTGCTGTGAGTGTCTCTCATTTCTTCGAGTGCTGACACCTCTCACACCTTGGGGCCCCTGGACTGGCTGGAGCTGGTCTCTGGCAAGCAAACTTTAGAAAAAAGAGACAGTGAAAGCAATCAAATTGGAGCAATAGAGGTGGGTAAAGTCTAAACAGGAGCAGAAAGCAGAACACAGGATCCTTCTCCTCTTTCACAAAGGCAGCTGTGACTCGCGGTTCTGAGGGATTCCCCTGGGCAGGAGGCACCTAAGTTGGAAGACAAAACATCCTCCTTGGAAGGTCTGAGCAGCAACCAGGAGTAAATGCATCCATCACGGGCTCTCTTAGAGACACAAATGCCCAGCTTAGGTTGGCCCCATAGGAAGAGGGAGGAACCCAGACCTCTTCTGTCCCCATTCAGAGCACCTCTCTGTTTAGGGTGTCCTCCTCATCACACCTGAAGCCCTGTAAAGGACTAAGGCTTACCTGCTTTGTTCATCTTGTATCCCACTATTCTCATGGGTTCCCTAAAGGATTTTCATGTCTGATCCTCACTTAACACAGGAAGAATCTGAGGCTTAAATGACAAGAAGTTTCCTGAGATCACATCATCCAGAGCAAGCTAATACCAGCTCCAGGTCTCCTGCAGTCCTGTCTGAACGCTCCACTGCTCCTGCCCCCCCATTTATCCTATGAGTTTCTCCCACAAAAATCCTCATGTGAATGCAAGTTTGAGAAACCACCTGGGGCTGCAGAGACTGCTAGTTTCTTTTTAAGAGCCATTCTTCTCCAGTGTCTGTCTTTCCAAGCCTCAGACTCAGAGCTAATAAACTTATTAAAGTCACTGTTATTGGGGCAGGTGTTGTGACATAACAAGTAAAGCTGCTGCCTGTGATGCCCACATCACATACAGGTGCCAGTTTGAGGCTCAGCTGCTCGGCTTCCAATCCAACTCCCTGCTAATGGCCTGGGAAAAGCAGCAGAAGATGGCTCAAATGCTTGAGTCCCTGCTATCCATGTAGGAGACTCAGATGAAGCTCCTGGCTCCTGGCTTAGGCCTGGCCCAGAGAGGCTACTGGGGCCATCTTGGAAGTGAAGTAGTAGATGATAAATCTCTCTCTCTTTCACTGT